GTTTCTGATGTCAATGGGAACAAGTCTGATGTTTCTCACTTCTTCTGCATTCTTTTCAAGATGAAAATCTTAAATGGGAATGCTTGACTCTTACACTGTTAATACATTTCTTACAGTTTGTTTTATTCTTAATTTTGTATATATTACTACACATACACATCTATGTTAGCACATACAGATAACACTCTCTAATCACTTGAAACTATTCCAGTATATGTATTATCAAATCCACTTATCATGCTGAGATATTTGGCTCTCCCCCATTTTTCACTATTGTAACACTATTGCCATGATTTTACACGTCTTTGTGCATTTGTGTATTTTGCCAGATAATGGTTTTACATTTTTTACTTTTAATTCTTTGCTGTATCTGAAACTGATATGATCACATTCTAGTGAGGGGAGTGAGAAACAAAGTAAATAAGCAAATAATATCATAGGTGATAAGCATAATGGAAAACAAGTCAAACGGTGTAAAGGCAGAAAAATTTTCCCTTCTTCCCTTCTAGGTTCTTTGGCTAGTCTAATAAAATTGACATAAGACGGACTAACTAGAGGAAAAAAAATTTTTTGTATGAATGGGAGCCACATAAAAAGATGAGTCTCAATGAAGTGACCAAAGCAGGAAGCCTTTATACCTTTTAGACAAAGATACAATAAATTTGCAAAGAATTGACAAGACAATAGCATTTGGGTAGGAAAATGGTGAGAAAAGAACAGGATTTGTTTATACGGCCTCTTTGGCCCTAAACTCCATCTCTGGCGATAAGGATGCCTTCCACCCTCTGGTAGACGAGGGTACATCTCCTGCTTTCATGGAGACAAAGAAGGGTAAGAGTTCCATTTTGCACTAGTTGTTTCTCAATTAAATTTAATTAAAATAATCGATATGCCAAAGTGGCAATTTTGGGGTGACACATTCTGAACCTCTGCAAGGGTAAGGAGACAGAAAGCGCTGGGTGTGGGGAAGGCCGCAGTCTCAAACTGGTCAGAGCAGGCCTCACTGAGAAAGCAACACTTGACAAAGACTTGAAGGAGACAAAGGATTCACGGAACTGATCGCTCCAGGCAGAGGGAATTAGCAAGCACTGAAGGCCTGAGGTGAGGATGTGCCCCCCAGTCCAGAACAACAGCATGACTGAAGCAGAGTAAGCAAAGGAGGGCAGGCAGAGATGAAGTGGGGGCGGGAGGTGGAGCAGGTCTTCCAGAGCCCTGGCGGTCACTGTCGGCACCCCGGTTTCTGCTGAGATAGGAAGCACTAAGGTAGCATGAACTGACGAACATTTTGGAAGGATCTCTTTGGCTGCTGTATTAAACACTGATGTTTTCTGTATGTGGGGGTGGAAGGGTAGTGGTGGTTAGAAGCCAGTAAGCCACTTACGAGACTATTACAAGAATTCATGTGAAGATGATGGATCCTGGATTTATTTTAAAAGAAAAGCCAGCAGGACTTGCTGACAGATAGTACGTGGGGTGTGAGAGGAAGAGATGCTACCATTATGGAGACGGAAAAGGCTGCGGACGATGGCTTGGCTTTGGACACACTATTTGAGACGTCCGTGAGTTATCTAAGTGGAGACTGAGAGGGGCCCGGAGTTCAAGACCTGGCTGGAGACACACATTTGGGAGTTCCCAGCACGCAGACTGTATCAAAGCTACGAGACTGTGTGAGACCAAGGCAGCTAGTGTTAGCGGAGAGGCAGCCCAGGGACTGAGCCTGGAGCACACCAACATTAATAAGGAACCTTTGAAAGTAAAACAAAAAGCCAGTGAGGGCAGAAGAAAACCAGGAGAGGGTGTCTTGGAAGCCAAAGTGAAGAAAACAAATCATGGAGGGAATGACTGGAGAGTCAGAAGCAACTGATAGGTTAGGAAGATGACACTCATGCATTCACCTCTGGCTTAAGCAACATGGAAGTTACCAGTAACCTTGACAAGGACAGTTTGGGTGAAAAGCTAGACTGGATTAGAGAAAATGGGAGGGGAAGAATTCAAGGTAGGCTTCCTTGGTTTACAAAGGCAACAATTTTCCTCAGGAAAGCTAGGGAATGTTTTGATATTTTTATGATCTGTGACTGCCATATATTCAAGGTTTGTTTCCTTCAGAATTCAAGAGCTTACCAAATGGAAATATTATATTTAAGACTTATAAAAGCATCTCCAATCAAGTTGTGAAATCACCAAAAGAACAGTTTTTTTCTGTAAAAAGGACAGAGAAAGAACATAAAATTCATTTCATTTGCCATTTGATTGTCTGAATGGTTACAATACATAGAAGTTGAAATTTTTCAGTAAGTCATTAACCTAAGAATATTTCATGAGGTCCAATTTACAGAAGAATAATCAAATTTACCAAACCCAATGGATGGTTTATTCATCTACCGTGTTCACTACCATCTTCCCTCTACTCCACTGCTGCCTGCCATTGTGAGAATGCAGATAGACTCCACGAGAACAGGAACCTTCTCTGTCTCACTGACTCCTGTATTCCTGCACCTAGAACCCTCCTTGGCACACGGTCAGTTCTCCATTAAATATTAAGGGTTACATGAAATGAAATGCATGTGTATGGAGATATTTTTTCTGGCCATGACTAGGGGCAGCTAGGGGCATCCTCATGGCCAAAAATAACACTAAATATCCTATAATTCACAAGATGGCCACCCTATAACAAAGACTACCCATCCCAAAGGGCCAGGAGTACCAGGGTTGGGGAACCATGCCTAATGAAAAAAGGACAAAGAATTAACCTGATTCATAGAAGACTTTGGTCTGAATCCCTGGAAAAGGAAAAAGGGGCACCAATAGAAGTCTATCAAGTCACTCAAGCCACACAACAAGACATCTGATGTGGCTTTAGAGATTCACTTATATGAATTTTTTCACCAATGCTGAGGGAGAAAAAATCTAGGCTGCAGTGTTTGAAAAGAACATGGCACAAGAACCCAAAACAAACTAGAAATTTTTCCAACCAATATACACTGAGGACTATCTGTATATATATGTAGAAAAGAAGATGTTTGTTAAGAAAAAGAAGACTATCCCAGGAGAATTAGCAAATGACTTGATAAATACATGCCAGAAAAGATTTTCAAAAGGCTACAGAATACAGAGAAAAATGCAGAATTTCATTAGTATTCAAAGAAATGCAATTTGACATATCTGTTTTCTATTCATCAAATGGGCTAGAATTAAATAGCCTGATAACACCCACAACTGGAGAGACAGTATAGGTCAACCGACAGCATCTGTATAATCCCTTGGTAGTGGGATCTCAAATAACTTTTTCTGTTTTTCAATATTGCCATTAAAAAAGAATGAGCTTTGAACTTAATCAATCACAATGCTATTGTCATGTGAAATTAAATCTCAAAATTATCAATACAGAAATACATATCACACATATAAACATACACATACATTTGTGACAGAATGCTACTATGCCTGCCCCAGTTCAGAGTCTGGCACTTCGGCCTGATCCTCCTGAAGGCTGATGCTGTCACCTCCCTGCCTGAAACTCTTCTGTGGATCCCATTCCAGGCAGCCCTCAGCATGGACAGCACCGAGGCCCTCCAAGTCCTGCCTCACACTTCTGATCAAGCTATACACAGTGCTGGTGATCTTTTGTAGCTGTTTCCCTGGCTTCTTTACCCATAAAGTCCTAGGCACTCTGGCCTGGGCTCCTGTAGTACCTTGGGCCAGCCTTTCACGGAGCACACAGCCTAGAAATGCTAGTCTCCTTCTCCCAAGTCAGAATCTCTCATCAATTCCTGTACCCACGGTGCACCGTCCCTGGTGAACAGAGTGCTTAACATTTAAATTACTTTGCTCATTCTTCTGTTTTCCTAGTTCTGATACTTAGTTTCACTTTTCACATATACTTTGAAATGTTCTTTATTGAGTTTAGAAGAGTGCTGGTGGTTATACAGACTTTACATCAGAACCTGCTCCTCCTAACTTCTTAAATATACCTTTCTCTGTAAACCAAACTGCAGCCCATAACCTTGGGAAATGATTATAGATACAAACTGAATTTAAAAATAACTAACTAACTATCTATCACTGGTATTTTCCTTTTGAAAAGGCAAACAGCCAAAGTCTGTTAGAGGAGGTCATCCAGAGAATATGACCACTAGTTGACCAAAATTGGGGACTCCTTGTTTTCTCCCACCATTCCCACCTGGGACTGTTCCCAGGATGCAGCCCTGACAGAAGGTGGTGCTGAGACATGTGGACTGTGTGGGTGACCGAACCCAGCCAGGGCCTCTGTATAAACTTTAAGATTCTGAGGGGTGATGCAGAGATCTATTTGTTTTGTGGCCACTCAAGACAAGCCCGATATTGTTTCCTTCCTTGTAAACCGGCCCCTCTTTCTTTGTCTCTCCCTGGCCTCCATTTATGGGGGCTGGTTTCATATTTCACCTGGGAAACTCACAAGGTTGTGAGCCACCGAAGGCCAACTTTAGAGCCTCTTCCAGAGCAAAGGAATTTTCAGAAAAAACAATGCCTTTGAGATATACTTTTTAAAAATAAAGCAAAGCAAAGAAGGGAGGGGGGATAAGTCAGGAAACAGATACAATCTGAGTTTTAAAAATACAATTTTGCCTTTAGCTTGAGAGTGCTGTCATTCAGGGGATTCCATGGGATTTCTTGCCTGCAGAAGACCCCATCACCTTTACTGTATTAGAAAACTTTTTGAATACCCCAGCAATGGCTGCATCTAAAGGAAACAGGCGGTTGCCCTCCATAAGTAATAGTGGATGTGACCAAGAGAATACATCCCTTGCCAGATAGTTATGCATAGCTGAAGGGCTTTCAAATCTAATGTTGATTATTCAGTTAAAGACCAACATACAAAATCACAAATATCTGCTCCCTTCCTGGTAAGCTTTCAACCAAAAGTCTTTCTAGGGAAGTATGTAAAGGTGCTAACAGCACATTGATAAATTAAGGGGGTAAACTAGGAAAACTGGGGAAATAATGCCATTTACTCATAGAAATGCTTTTACTGGAGAATTAGATTATGTTTAATACCAGTATTCAAGTTGACATTTTATTTCCATCATAATTTTTAAGTATAATCCAATGCTTAAAAAGCTGTCCCTTTTTTTCTTTTCAGACAAACTTAAAGCTACAAAGATCCCTTTCCTATAACTGAACTTATTGATCCAATGAAGGTATAGTCAATACTGAAATATACAGCAACTTCTTAAAAGTAGGGCAGAAATAGAGAAAGTTCTGAAGTCTTCTCTAAGTATTTCAGCTATTGCCGATGGAAGGTGCTTCTATGGAACAAGCATCACTGGTTAGTGTAATACTGGTCCAAGTCATCTTCATTCCTTATTTCTGGAGTAGAAAACTGTATGGGTTTGCAGGGTAAATCACCTACTAAGACTTTGGTCCTACAATGAGAAAATTGTTCATAAAAGCTACACAGGCCAATACCACACAAGCATACAAAGTCCATGATAAAGCTCTTCGGGAGTAAAAAAGAAAAAGCATTAAACACAAGAAATAATGTCTTCTTTTATCAGTTTAAAAGTGGGAATAACTTATTTGATCAAACCTTGTTTAAAATAGATTATCATGTCAGACTTCCTCTATAAATAGGCAAATTGCTAAAGGGTTTTAATGTCACATGGAAGAAGTTTTTGGCAAGGTTATGTTTAAACCATACCGTTGATCTTTGGATAAACCAACAAATAATTTCAAAACATGGAAAACAGATATTGTCCTTGAGTTATCAAGGCTCTACAAAGTTCCTTTCAAATTATCCACAAGCATATTAAATAGCCACACAAGTAAAAACCAAATTCAGGTTTCCAATACAAATTCTAAAACGTTACCTGGCAAAAGCTGCAACTCCCTATGGCAGCTTGTCAGGTAATCAGTCTTAAATTACTCTGGGTTCCTCTGCAATTGCTACCTCGACCTTGAGCCTTTCACTTTCTCTGTGACTGAGAGCCCAGGTCAGAAGAAGTGAAAGCCAACAACCTCTTACTTAGCAGGGCATTGTGTCGCTTCAGGTATACTATTATGTCTCCTTGCTTTTCAACAATTTCTTCCAGGCTTGAAACAGTCCTGCAAGGAATCAAAATATCAGTGGGTTGCACACACTCACCCATACACATTGGTCTCTTTGCAAATGGGTCCCTACCAGCTCTCAGGACAGTATATTGTATTTGCTACTTTATCCTAGGTGTCAGAAGCCAAGACAATATTCCAAAATGAGACTCTGTCATTAGACTTGGCTTTACACAGCTGAATGAAGCAAAACAAACATAATTTTAAAGGTATGTATGGTCTCCAAGCATTAGAATGGTTTCTAGATTTCCAGGGAAAAAGAATTTTCTTTCTCTAATCTTTTACTCCCCACCCAAAGCTTACCTGAATCCAGTCTCTGACTTAATATTGCTGGGGTAAGTATAGATTTTTTCTTCTTCAAGTATATCAGGCTGTGGTTTGGCTTTATTAAATTTTCGTATTTTCACTAAAATAATAAAAATCATTATTGTCAGGCTGACTAATAATGAAAAATTTTCTATTTCCACTCATTCAAATTACAGTAACTGGCTCTTCTTTTCAAATACGTTAATATGCAAAAAAAATGCTTTATAAAGTGAGTAAGCAGGTCCTTTACTGATGTCCTCAAGAAATTGAAAGTCTACCACATGCCAGGCCTGTACTAAGCATGGCAAAGGCAGAGGTTATCGTTACCACTGACAATAACAGCCATTGTTTTTGTGCATTTTTCTTTTTTGTGCTTAAAACACACTAGGCACAAGTGAACTGTTTTACAAGAATTGCTTCGTTTGGTTCTCAGAACCACCCCATGCCCTGGGGGCCCTTAGTATTCCTATTTTCTACAGTTGCATAAACAGAAGCCCAGGGAAGTTAGACAAGTAGCCAGGTTCTAACAGAAGCATGACTTCAAAGCCTCCACTGCTGACACTACCCTATAAAAAGGGCTACTAGTCCAGGGATAACAGATGATAAGCCTACATTCCATGACAGAGAACAGTGAAAAATGACCCTAAATCAGAGCTCCACTCTAGGGGCCGTGGCAGCCCTGGAAAGCTCTTACTCAGCAGCAGTGGGATGGGAGGCATGTTGAGAGAGGAGGGAGAGGGCAGGGTTAGGGTCCAGCATTAAGGGACATGCAGGATTTAACGGAGGAGGGTGCTGTAGTGCAGGAAGGGCCTGAACAAACACTTAGATCTTGAGAGGGTGGGGGGTGGCACACACAAGGGGTGAGGCATGGGAGGTGGGCCATCGCACTTAGATTTTGTCCCATGAGCAAGCAGCAGTCATCAAAAGGGTCTCACCATCATCCCTCAAGAGCAAGGACAGGTAGGGGCCAGTTCATGGAGAGCCTTTTGCACCAAACTAAGATTTCAGTTTCTTCCTTAGGCCGTTAGAAAACTGAAGAGGGAAGTTGTTGATGATTCAAGTTTCTTGTGAACATGATGTCTTGGCACAAGCAAGGATGTGAATGAGAGGACAGAAGGTAGGAGAGGTGGTGAGCCTACTGGAATGATGCATGCAAGACGGGGTGCGCATGTGGCTACAGCGATGCAAACGAAGAGGCAGACTGGGGAGGCAGGCAGGCCAGGCCCGACCAGGGACTGCCGGAGGGGGAGGAAGGTGGAAGGAAGAGGCAGGGATGACCCTAGGTTTCCAATTCACAGGCAGACTGGCACTGCGCTGCCAGCTGAGATAAGGGTGGAAGGATAGCATGGAGGAAAATTTTGTAGAAGGAGAAAGATGCTCAGATCAATTCTGATCTTGTTTGCGTACCGTGGAACACCCAGATGGAAGTGTCAGAGCAGATGACCGCTCCTTCGGGGACTGCCCACTACTGTACAGACGGTAACTGAATACGTAGAATAAAGAAGGATGAGGGCTGGTGAGGGAATGCTGGGACCCACCAATGTTAGAGGTAGTGAGAACGTGCTGAAAGGGAACGGGAATCAAAATACAAGGAGTGTGAGAATAAGGAAGGAGCACCAAGTGCTCCCGGCCAGGAAGGTGAACACATGCAGAGGATCTGGGGAACTTGGTGTTTCTGGGATAAGTAGTATTATGGACTAAACTGTCTTCCCCCAAATTTATACTGTGATGTTGAAGCCCTAATCCCCAGTGTGACCATCGCTGGAGATGGGGCCTTTAATGAAGTAATCAAAGCTAAATGAAGTAATAAGGGCGGGGCCCTGATTGGCTGGAGGAGACCCCAGGGACACTGGCAGAGGGTGGCCACCTACAGGCCAAGAAGGAAGGCCTCGGGAGAAACCAAACCTGGTGCTGCCTTCATTTTGTACTTTTAGCCTCTGAACTATGCAAAATAAATTTGGGTTTTTCTGGTCTGAGATTTTGTTAAAGACTTCCAGCAAGTTAACATTAAGTGGGCAGAAGGTAGAAAAGCTGAAGTAATGGAGGCTGCTGCTCTCTCTCAATTTCTCAGGCCTGACAACTGAGCAAAGCAGAGTAATCTGCATCTCTGGACAACAGCTATCATACTGGGGCCCTGCCCATCTGAATGACAACTCTGCGACCTGGCTAGAAAGCGCAGTCTCCACCAGATGCTGCAAGGGCGGACAGCCAGGACGGAGCCAGGTCTCAACCAAGGCAGTGACTGACGACCCAACTCAGTGTGAACATTACAGGTGCAACTCCGAAGGAGTCTGAATGCTCAGCGTGTGGGTGAGGGAGGGAAATGGGTTGAACCCAGGCACAAAATTTTTTAAAAGTTCCACATATACTTCCTTCCTTTCTTATACAAACTTTTGAAAATAAAATCCACATATCATGTAATTCACCCATTTAAAGTGTACAATTCAGGGGTTCAGTATATTCAAAAGGTTGTGCAACCATCTCTACAATCAGTTCTAGACATTTTTATCACCCTAAAAAGAAACCCACTATACCCAGTATGTGTACATTAGCAATCATTTTCCATTTGGCCCCTGTACCAAGGTCTAGGCAGTCACTAATCTTTTTCTATAGATGTGCCTGTTCTGGGCATTTCATATACATGGAGTCATACAGTACACAGTCCTTTTAGGTCTGGCTTCTTCTCCTTAACATAATGTTTTCAAGTCCCATCCATGTAGCTTGGGTTAGTACTTAATTCCATGCATTCATTTCTTTCTGTGGATAAATAATATTTCCAAGTATGTATATAGAAAATTTTGTTTATCTATTCATCCATTCATCCTAACATCATTGAAAGCGGTTGTCTCCACTTTCAAGCCTATGATAAATAATGCTGCTGTGACCTTCTGGGGCCACGTTTTTGTGTAGATGTTTACATGCCTTCATTTCTCTTGGATGTACACACAGAAGTGCAATTGCTGAGTTAAATGGCAGCCCTACATTTAAGCACTGGTGGAGCTGCCAGACTCCACATGATTCTAATGTGCATGTTCAGCTGAGAGGGAGGCAGAAGAAGCCTAAGAAAAGAGGTCAAAGAAGAAGGTGAGAAGGTTGGAGATTTGCAGAGGGTTCATCAGAGAACCAGCAAGAGGCAGGCGGTATGAGGGCAGAGAACAAAGGATATGTAACTGGGAGCCCTTGACTCTGGGGTGCAGCAAGGAAGTGTGAAGCCTTATGGCTTCAAATGGCACAGCACAAAACCTGAGATGCCACACCTCCTGGGTCGCAGGAAACTGACAGACCCTGGGGCTCCACCACCACAGGCCAGGCAGGAAGGTAGGAAACCAGGAAAGTGAGGGCGCAGTCCAGTGAGGAAGGCATTTCAAGGAGGGTGTGATCAGCTGGGTCAAATATCATCAAGTAAGATTAAGGCTGAGAATGAATATGTCTATGAGGGTTGCCAAAGAATCTGAGTTGTTTATGTCCCTATCTTACATCCCCAATGGTATCTTCCACATAGGAATGCCTAAATAAACAAAGAAACTCATAGCAAGTATGTTTCTTGACTTAGGGGACAGGCGATAACACCTACACGAAAAGAAAGTAAAAGAGGCAGAAATAAAGGACATACACAGCCTGACAATATAAAAATGTCCATCTCTCAGATTCCTCTTTGCAGTGTTAAAAAGTAAATTAAATTGAATGCACTCAGCATTTTTTAGATCACAGGTAAGGCAATGACACCAGTACAAACCATGTAAACAAGAATCTCTTTCCATCATAAGCCAAGGAAAGCACAGAAGCCAGAACATCAAAATACTAAACACATAGATTGACCTGTTCATATACATTTTCTTTGATCCTCCACTGCACCCCTTACAACTTCAAGGCTGTTTTACCAGCTGCTGGAAAGCTAATAACTGAGTGGCATTTGTTGACTCGTTTGCTTATTTTTAAGGAACAGAGAAAGCTAATAAAATGTATTATCTCAAAACTGTTTTAAGTTTTATTTACCTAGTTTTCCCTACAGAGGTAGTCAAGCAAATTAGTGCTCATTAAGAGTTCATCTTGTTTTCAGGAGATTAACTACTTATGATGTAAATAAATCAAGTTTAGGTTAGGATTAGCATATCAAAGAATCATGTCCTAAAGAGTTATTATCAACGTTATCAAACCTAGCTATCCTTTTAGTATAGAAAAGCAAGAAAAATGCATATATGAGGGAATCAACCTCAAATTTTTTTTGACATTGAACAAAAGCAATATTTGTCCCTAGAAGCTACTCCCTAACCTTATCCTGTTGGAACCTACAGTATATTTAAAGAAATATGCCAAGTTTAAAAAGTAAGCCTATTATTGAGGAAGTGGTGGCAATACACTCATATTTGAACCTTCTAAAGAAACTCAATATTTGCAGAAACCCTACACTATGTAAATGTATAATTATGATCATTATAAACCTCTCCTATGTAAATCATGTATTTATTTTGCAAGTCTGAATGACCAATTATCAGTTTTTCTTAAAACAGGGAGCATAGTGGAGATTTTAAAAGACAACATTTAATGGTGTATTTTATTCAGATTAAAAATTAAAAATTAATGTAAATAGACATGAAACACGCTTCTAAGTCTCTGACTATAGACCAAAGCAACTCTTTAATTAGAAAGACAATGGATTAAAATAAATGGTATATGCTAAAGGAACATTCTTTTTGTCCAAGTTTAAGTGTCATGTAACTAATGTATTTGTGCCTAACTGTAATAATTAATTCCTCTCATTGTTCTTGGAACATCAGCTTCCTCTGCCACCTTTGAAATGGTCTCAGGTTTCTGCCTTTTTAACATTGCCTGTCTTATTTATAGGATCATTAATTCTAAATGCCACAGCCAGTCATAAAAAATAAAATAAATCTTAGAGAAATAAATGTTGGCCTACATTTTTAACAGTATTAATTTCCCCTTATTTCTATGATAGCAGTCACGTGATTGCTGGAGTACTGTGGTCACCTCCTATGTCACACAGCATTCCACAGGTATTACAGAAAATACTTCCCTGAAGGCTTGCACCCTTGTAGTAAATAAAAATTGTAGAGAAGGATATTATAAAATAACATGGTAACTGAATTCTATGCTTAGATCTCAACTATTAACTCCATTTACAGCACTTGACAGACATATCATTTGATCTTAATTAACAAGACAGTTCGATGTTGATTTCTATGAGTCACTTTAGTAATGAGCTGTTTCCTATACACTGAAAAATTAAGTTTCTAGGATGTTAAATGGGTTGTATATCTTTTTTTTAGAGTAAGGTACAAATGTAATCCTCTACCTAATTTAGCCAATTGCTAGCTGCTAACAACAGAAAAGTTGAAGAAAGCTGATTAAGAATATGACATCATATACATGTACAAACTAGTCACTCCATTCATTCTAAATATTCCAGACTTCAAGGAGACACATAAAAAAAAATTAGTAAATTAAACACAAGCTAAGACCTATGTGACTTCCTCCTTCATAACTAAACAAATTATCTCTTTTGAATGAATAGATAAGGTATTTTATTACAATTACTGTTGCTCAATGTCACAAAGTGAGCTACTATCACGAACAGATTGTATTACATGTCAATACTGCAGCAGGAATGAAATCTAGATTTCTCAAGGGCTTGAATTTCTTTCTGTTCAAGTATCCTTAGGTCTACTTACCACACTAACATTTCTGAGGCTTAATTTTCCCATGTAGTGCTAGGAGAGAGAAACAGAAGACAGACCAACCCTCAGACAGCTCTGAATTTAGAGAGAAGTGGGTTCTTAAATGGTTTATCCCAAAGCAAGTTTGAGCTAAATGCAGTTATGCATGCTTTGTTTATTTACTTACATACTTATTTTGTATTTTGTTATTTTTAATTTTAAATGGTAGACTTAACATTTCAGTTGTCTTTGGGAAAGCAAAAGTTGGGTCTTTTTGATTTGTGTTTTTATTTTTGATGAAAAGCCTTAACTTTTGTTGACAAAAATTTGTTGATGACACAAATTTAGAAATGTGACTCACTGCTATCTTCTTGGTAGTTTGCAATTAGAGAAGTCTGGATGTGGTCAAGCAACGATGGATAAATAGGTGCTGAATAGCTCTCAGCAACAAAGAAAATCTTCCCTGCTTCAAAGGACCATGGGCCACGCTTTCCATTATCAGGTGTCGCGACCCTTCAGGGACCGAAGCAACACGCCCAAGGTCTTGATTCTTCTCTAGGCTTTATTGTCTAATCTCTCAGGGCGGTTACAGCAGTTGTCGGGAAGCTCCTCTCCCTCCCGGCGGGCTCCCTTATATTCAGTGACCCAACCAATCCGGGACAGTATCATGCATGACCTTTAAGAGGATAGGTGTCACGCGCCACTCTAAGCGGGCAGCACGAGCTGTGCACGGGTACGGAAGTCTGCTGGGCCAATCCCCAACAGGGAAGAGGGGAAAGGGTGGTGAGCAGGAAATGGGCGCCATCTTCTCCAGCTGGTGATGAGGCTAAAATACCAGGTCTTAGAACTACCACTGGGCAAGGGAGCTGCGGTGGATCAGACCCGGGACCGAGCCCTGGCCAGGGGCCCGGCCCTCACAATCAGGGATAGAAGAGGCAGTTAAAGGTCTTTTACCAAAACAGCCTTGTGTTATTCTTACCTGAATAAATGAGCTGACAGATCAGCGAACAGACCAGCTCCAAGGCCAGGATGGCCAGAATGAGGTCCAGATACAGTCTGCTGGGCTCCGGGAAGGAGTGCTGCACACACAGTGTGAGGAGCAGCGCCGTGTTGCCTGAAGGAGAGACATGTCAGCTAGCGCCCGTGGTCATGTGCCCAGGTGGTGCTCTGGCGGCACCCCGCACCTGCAACCATCCTCCCAAGTACCTGGCTGCACAGCTCCAGGCAGCACACCCGGAGGGCACGCACGCACCCACACCCACTTACACTTAGCAGTGGAGGAAGCTAATGGAGAAAAACCAAAACACTGCTAATCTTTTTTGGAAAAAGAGAAAACACATCGAAGAGTTAATGGTGCCTTATAATACAAATATTTAAGGATCTGGACTTTAAAAACTAAGGAATGACTTTTTCCTTTACAAAATTAACAATGACATTCTTTTGGGTCCCATGTGCATTTAAAAAATTATGCAGTCTTTAGAAATTTGCATTACCCCAGTTCTTAAGTTTTCAGAGGCACCCATGAACCTCGTGGCCCATCCTGATCCCATGGAACTCTTAGGGTTAAGCGTGCTTCCATGAGCCATGCCACCTGGTTGAAAATCTAGGACATGCTGCTAACTTTGGGTAAATGACCTAACACTTCTGCTCCTCCACTTCCTCCTCTGAAAAATGGGGGGTCACATTATTGCTCACAGGGCAGTTCTGAGTGCATCTGTGAAAATATTGAGCTGGTACCCGACCTTTAAGTATTCAGTAAATATGAGCTACCCCCTGCTCAGCATACCGTCTTTATCATTGAAGACCACTTAACCTTGTTCTGCCCTTTTATTCTGAAGAATGTCCAAGAAAAGTTTGGGGCAGAAAGGATTCCTATAGTGTCCTTAGAATTTCCTAAAACTAACAGATTTATTGAAGTCTGATCAGTGTTGGTGGTGTAGGGGTGCTTGCTGACTTTTCTTCTATTTCATGGTACAAGGGGATGACCGTGAGCCAAACAGCCATGCTTAGTGAACCACCAGAAGTCTCTACAGGACGCGATGTTCTCCCAGGCCCTAACTGTCCTGTGGCTAACAAAGTCAATGCATTAGCATGTTGACAGACTGCTGACTTTGTACATTCGTTTTGTGAACATGTACCTTTTGCAACATTTAGGGGAAAGAAACTAGGAAAAGAGCTCTGCACCGAAAGTGAACAGTTTTCCAAGGAGCTCTGATGTGCTGAGCGATGCCCGCATCTCCAGGCCAGGGGCCACAAGGCCTGCTGTGGACCAGGTCCACCACATGGGGAGACCATGGTCAACAACACTCCCCTGGGTGGCACATGCTGTGGAGACCCTAAAAGCACTCTGGGCAAGCCCTGCCCAGCAGTTGGAGTTCAGACTCATAGCATCTGGTCTGGGTTCCTGAGGCAGCTTCCCCATTAGCTGTGCTCTAACCAAATCCACCTGTGTGGGTAAAATCGCAATATTTCCAGAATTACCTGGGCGACTGAGAGCTTATCTGGATCAGAGGCTGGGGGTTGGATTCCCTCACTTCTGCCGCAGCAGGAGAATGACAGAGATGGGCCAACTGCTTGTAAGCAACAAATGGGTTTTAAACTTTATTGCTCCCTTTGACTGATTTTGGTTTCAAAGGTGTTTTGCCCCAGGGTTTCCCCCCTGGAGTTACATCTGGTGGTAGTCGGCAGGAATTCTAAACCTGAAATTTGTCTACATGGGTGCCACCCTTGGGCAGGCTGCCCCTAGAGATGGTGGGGAGATGCCCATAACTCCCTCTGCGGATAGTGGGGAGGCCCCAGTGGCTGTAGCGGCAGAGGGTGCAGCTTCACCCAGGAGCCCCCTATCTGTGGGGCTTCCAATTTGGGAATGCCTAGTAGGGAATTGGTCTCTAGGGTAAAGTATCTCCTAGAGGGATGGGGCCTTCCCCAGAATTGGGAAAGTGTGGAGACACCAGAAGCTACAGAATTATCCCTTTGTAAGATAGAAGACTGCTTAGAGGCCTGGACGGGCCATGCAGCAGCTGGCATTATAGGGTCTCAAGAAGGAAAAGAGGGCTATTGAGGAGAAAGAAAGGGTGATCAAGGAGAGAGAGAGAGAGGGACTTCGGCAGAGAGACACACTTCGGCATCGCTTCACTTGGAGGAGCTGGGCAATGACCTATGGGAAGCCCTTATGGAAGCGAGACAGTTATTGAGAAAAAGGGTTGTACTTCTGGAAGATTCCTTAGCAGAGGTGAGAGGGGAGGTGGCAAGAGAGGCTGCATTGCAGGAGGCCGTGGGGGATGGGGAGGAAAGAGCAGTGCCTTCAGCCCTGGAGATGGTAGAGAAGCCGGGAGGGAGATTAGGCGGTGGGGCCAAGGGCCGATCTGCTGCCGAGGCCACCACCCAAGGCACCAGCCTCTCCTGTATTAAAGGCCCGCCCTGCTGTAATTAAAAAAATAAAAATGAAACAACCACAGGCTCCTCAGGGGAAGAAGCTGCTGCCTCCCCAGGTTGTAGAACACTCCATGCTCTGTCCGTATACCCAGAATGAGCTGGTGGACATGAGCATCCGATATAGGCAGAGGCCATCGGAACCTCTGCCTACACAGCTTTTACGTCTCTAGGATACGGGGGTAGAAGACACTGTTATGTCGGGTTCAGAAAGGAGTAGACTGGCTTCCCTGATGACACCCTTCCCTCCAGCAGCAGTTGCAAAGTGCCTGTCATGCCTCAGGGAATCAAACATTTCTGGATTGGCTGACAGCTGGATCAGGGCAGTTTGGCTTAATCAGGGTGATTTACTACATTTACCCACTAAGTGGAAAAATGTATATAGAGCTCCAACAGGTATTGCGGGAATTGGGCTTAAAAAATATCATCTATAATATGGACCCCCAGGTCCCCAATGAGGAGTTGTTCACTATAGGAATGAGAAATCTGGTGCTGAATAGAGCTCCCACATGTATGTCTCACTAGGGGCCCCTAGTGATTATTCTTGCCCCCCACATAGGGCAACCAATAAGCGAGGCTACTCGTACTTTAGCAGATTCGGAGGAGGTTGAAACAATAAGGGCATGGAAGTAAGTGTGGACTACAACTGAAAGGAGAGGTGCGTAGGGCCCCGTGAAGGTCTGGACCCAGATGGGTTGATTTGATAAAGGCTGGGGTAGTGAAAGAAAAACTTGATGGGCAGCCCAATAAGATCTTGTTAGAACTGTGACACCAATTAAAGCCAGAGCAGCAGTTCCAACCGCTGAGGTCCAGGACACAGAAACTAGAGTCAGAGCCCCATGTCCAGCCTGTGTCCCTGCAAGACTTCATGGGGGACAGTATTCAGTATTCGCCTGGGCCCGCACCCCCACAGGAGGATGATTGGTCATTGTAGTTAGACTGAGGGGGTGGGTCAAGGTCCCCACCTTGGGGGATGTGGTGGGGACTGGAGGCCACATGTAGAATTAGCAATTCATTGGTCCCCTGTGAATGTACAACGTGTCCTGATGCTGGTGGAGACAGGGCCTGAGTGTTCTCTAATTTGTGGCAACCCTGAGCATTTCCCAGAACTCCTGCTGTGATAGATGGCTATTGGGGTAAGGCAATTAGAGAGAAGAAAGCCCAAATCCAATTGGGATAAGGCATTCACCCCCAAAGGAATGTACTGTGTACATTTTTCCCACCCCTGAATATATTTGGGGGGTAGATATCCTGCAGGGCCTGTGGTTACAGACCACTGCAGGTGAGTCCAGACTAAGGGTACATGTGGTAAAGGTGGTTCTGAGGAGACATGCTAAGCACCCACCTGTAGCTCTGCCTGTACCACTGTCATAATAATTTGGTTTTACAGAATCTCTGGCTATTAGAGGCATGTGCCATGTGGCCCCTCCTCCAAGCAAGTTCCCTGGTGTACTTAGGACACCACGGCAGGCCCCTGCCCCAGCCTCTTTGCTCCACTGTGCACACCTACTGGGCCGAGCCTGCAAGTAGTTGGCGTTCTGGGTAGGCACTGAAAGCACCTGGGCCCCCTGAGGAATGTGGGGCAGGTGGAGACTAAGGGTGCATAGGACCCAATCTCTCTGACCTGGAGTAGAGAAAATGTAAATTTCTGACCAGGATACTTGCCTGGCCTAACATCGCCCATTGTGTACATAAGGAGCCTGCTTTGCATATCTATGGGCAGCAGGGTATTTATCAGGGACAAAGGGGCTGGTCAGTCAAGAGAGTATGGGCTCAAGGGAGAGGTGGAGAAGACATCCATTCTCTCCTCCCCAGCCTCCCCATTCCTGGCATGTAATTGGTTGGTGGTCTGCCAGTCACTACAGAGACCCACCCACAGGGGTGGGAAGAGTAGAACGGAGAGAGGACAAAAGAGAGTGGAGGAGAGCGGTAGAAGAGCTAAGTAGAGAGCTTAGGGGGCCCACAGAGCAGGAGACAGAGGATGCACAGCCCCAGTGCCAGCTAAGCAGAAGCAGCAGGAAGACCAAGCCACTAGTGGGAGGCAGGCTGGGGAGCAGAACCTATAGCCAGCCTGGGGAATGCTTTCAAGCCAGCCATGTGTACACAGCCCGGTGACAGCAGTAAGAATAAACGTGGTATTATCTCCTTTTAAGCCCCCAACTTGCTCATCTTTATTAGGTCTCTGAGAATTCATAGTGAACTTGCCCGGAGAACCAGAGCAACACCTGGGGTCCGAGAATTCCTATTGGGACCTGTCTTTATTCCTTCCAAAAATCCATACTCGAGGGAAGTTCCCTCAAGCTGCACTTGACATGGCCTCAGTCTCTGCACCACCCTTTCAGGCCCCAGAGAAGAACTTCTCTGGGACCTCCTGACAGGTTGAAAATTACTGCTTCTCAGTGAAAAGCTGAGTTTTCATTTCAGTGAAAGAAAAACAACAGCTAAATATGCAACTTGCCATGTAACTAATAATATCTGATAGATATATTTGCACATCTAAGGAAGAACAGATAAAGCAGATTAATATTTTCCATTTATTTGGAAGGAAAGTGAAGCCCCTTCTCCCATCTCCACAAAACAAAACAAAATGAATTTATTTTTCTATTTTCGGATTACTTTAAGCTGATTATTTTTAAGAAACAGCAGATACAGGAAAAGCTCTGCATACCAAGCTTATCCTTTGTCAAGAGGCAATCACGTGTTCAAGGGAAATCTCCACCTGCAAAGAGTGTTCCCTCCTCTCTGTACCCGGATGGAGTCTCTTACATCTCCAGAACTTTTTAGCAGTGGAGAAGGTAGGGATGTAAATCTGTATAACCTTACCCTTGTTTACTCAGCTTTGCCTGGTAACCTCCCAAAACTGCTCTATTCCCCCACATCTTTCTTTTGTCTTTAGCTGGAGATGCTATTTAAGGCGGTGGCTTAGGCTACTTCAGGGTGTTTTTCTGGGTAGTTTTTTAACTGGGTAAAAAACACTCGGCTTCCCCGTGTATCTCCCATGTGTATATGTTACTAAACTTCTGTTGGTGTTTTTCCTGCTAATCTGGCTTCTGTTATAGGGGAAGTCTCAGTCAAGAACCTGAAAGGGGAGAGGGAATTTTCTCTTCTTCCCCTACACTAACAAACATTAAAACTGTATGTATCATAAGAAAAGTATCATGAATTTTAGTGGCCGAAACACACGTGCTCTCACAAAAATATATATTTGAGCATTAAGTCAAACTTCATGTTTCCTTTCTGCTGTCATTTTTGCCACTCAACAAATCACGGACAAGCTGATCAAGACAAGTAGGCTTACCAGCGGAGTGCGCCATCAGCGCTAGTCTTTTGAGATGCCGTGTTGATCGGTAGATTGTGGTATAGCCGTGGTTTCTCACTTTGCTGTGGTGATACTGGATGTAGCGTTCAAGAAAGACGTGCAGAATCCACAGAACAACTTTTCCAAGGATTATGACTGTCTGAACTTTCAGGGGGTTGGTATAGTTTCCCGGGCACTTGTCCTCAGTTGGATTAGGGTAAGAACAAAGCACACCTGTTAAAAATGCTAAAATCACAAACACAACCTGGGGGAAAGGAAAGCAGTGGGGTTAATATTCGTTATTTGGATTTAAGAAACAATAACCACAATCCCAGCACATATTCTTGCACCTTTGCCATCCTATTTATATAAAACGTTTTTGTTTGAAAAAAATCGCATTTTTTGAGTTTAAAAACATATTTTGTGCATCTTGACCAGCTTTTTAAACAGAAAATGTAGTGCAAAATCTACAGAAAATTTGGAAAACAGATACAATCATAAGCAAAAAAATAAAAATCACCCCAGATCCAATCTAACAGAGGTAAGTACTTAATGTTAAATGCAGTTTCCTACCTGCTTCTGTTTTATAGAAAAGAGTAAAAATAATTAGTTTAGCACCTGAAAGGTAATAATAAAAATCATTTTAAGGCTTATTCCTAGTTTCAGTTTTAAGAGAACAAGAGTAACTATTCAATTATATTAACAAAATGTAAAGCATTGGTGCCAAATTACAAGCAAACAAACATTCTCATATTGCTGATTGGTCTGGGAATTGCCGTTGAAAAATAATTTGGAAATATTTTGACCTAGACATCCTACCTGAAGGACTCTATTCCTCACAAGTAAGCACCTGTACCTACGGTATATGATCATGTCTATTTACTACAGCATTCTCTGTATTTACAAAGAACTGAAATTGCTGAAGTATATGTCTCTATCCACAGCAAAATGCTTGATTAAATGTATACCCCCCATATAATAGAATATTATTTGTCTATAACTTAATTAACTAAATCTCTGTGTATTAGTTTGGCTAGTATCTATAAGTGTCTGTCTATATTAAGATTAAAAGAAATAAATTGTAGAGTAGTAGTTCAAAGTGTGGTTTTCAAAACCAGCGGCAGTCAGCAGCGGCCTGGGCACTTCTTAGAAATGCAAATTCTCAGGCCCCACCCAGACCAGCTCCAAGTCTCTGGGGATATGGCTAAGCAACCTGGGGTTTGACAAGCCTGCCAGAGTCTGATGTATGCAGGGTGAGAAATTCTGCTGCATAGTAATAAATACATATTATCCAATTCTGGGGGGAAACACAGAGGAATCCTTTTTATATGTATAAATCGTTCTTTACCTATTGGTATGAACTTCACAAAAGGCACTGAAAGATATACAACAAACTTTATTAACTCAGGGAGAAGGGCTGAAACAGAGAAAATGAAAGGTTATAATTTTCTTTGTACATTTCACTAGTATTTTACTTGTTACAGTTAGAAATATTCTATAATTTAAAAAATCAAAGAAAAATTTTAAATGCTTTGATTAGCATCCATCACCAAGTATCCAAAAGGGGACAATCTTAGCATATAGTAAATCTATTTACAAAATAATATCATTTGCCAAAGTGATTAGTCACAGCAGCAATTTGCTATTGAAACTCAACAGGCATCTGACCATTAAGCAGAAAGTTGAAAAGTCAACACATTCCCTATAACATACTGGACACTTAACCCAACAGATCCATTTTACATAAAGTGGCACATAAAGATATTAATCTGTGTGTGTATCAAAGGCAGGCAATTAAGTATAAAAAGGATTTTTAAAGTGATGTGTGTTTGGTGTATATACATAAAAAGTATGTCATATAAATTAAAGAGTATGTTATGCAAAATGTAAAAGGAAATTAGAAAACAGGCCATGAACGGGACCAGGAGTTCTCTGCATGTGGTGGCACCAGGAAGGAAGTGTCAGTCGATGACCCATCAGGAAGTCACGGCAGAACCATGACACACTTACTAGAGCTACACCAGGAGCGTGGATGCATCGCTCTCAATGCAGGCCGCTGAGTTCCAGTCTCCCACACTGTCTCACTGGAGCAGCAGCTGAGCATGACTGTTGATTCGATATTTAAATATTGCAATACAATCGCCTCCTTAGCATTAGCTAATATCTCTATCACACCACAAAATTATTTCCTTTTTGTGATGGCTACAATTAGACATCTACTCTCTCAGCAATGCTGAAGTTTATAATACATATAATTGACTATAATCACAATGCTGTGCGTTAGCTCTCCAGGATTTCTTTACCTACTAGCTGCAACAAACCTATTTTTAAAAATCCCCAGATATTTATAATTTTATTATCATACAAAACATGGGACAACAATGTGCGTATTGTTCAGCTGCAGCATGATTTCTCTATTTAACAATGTTTTCTAAGTGTTGATAAATTGATAAATTTCTGCGTCAGCATATATAGACTTATCTAACCTACATCTTTTTTTTAAGAAACTGAAAAAGTAATACATACATATGGTAAACAAACAAATAAAAATCAAATACCACAAAAGGCAAACAGTAAATATGCCAGGTGTCCCTTCCACTGAGGCTCTCAGTCCTCACCTCAGCGGCTAGTGTTAAAGGGTCTTCTGAAGTTGCAGAGTTAAACAGATGGACATACAAAGTGTCCTCTGAATGGTGGCCACAGTCTCTAGATATTACAGACAATATTACTAACATCAACCATATCTGACACATAAGCAAAGATGTCTACAGTAAATTCTTTGAAGCAGAGAGATGAATTAAAAAGTACATTTTAAATGTCTGCAGATGTAGCCAAATTCCCCTCTGAAGAGCTTACATATTTCTTAAGAACATTACCTCTGGATGGATCACCTCCACCCAGCTAACTTACATGTATTAACAGGAGAAGATTTGCTATGATGACCGTAGGAAGAGGGTGGAAACTGGGTCTAAAATGCGCATGTAACAAGTAATGTGGGAGATGCTGAAGGTCCAGAAGGGGGTCATCCTCAGTACTTTGGGTGAGATCCAAGGAACACTGGGGTACAGAAAAACGGAAGCTATAATCAACGCTTTTTGGATCATGTTTCCAAGACAAATCTGCTAAACTATAAGCTTTAAAAACAATTACTTAAATCAAAGGCAAAAAAAAACACAGTCCCTACCTAAAGCCAATTAAAAAATACATGTATCATCAATCTCTTAGTAACTACTATCTAGAACTTGGTGAAAACAGGTATTAAAATGGGTACAGGAAATCTTAATTCAATCATCTGCAAGTGAGGTAATATGTATATATTGAGATTAAAGAAACAATTTTCTCTAAACCCTCAAATCTTAAATATTGATTTACTTAATACTATTTATATTACTGATGAAACAATTATATATGGTTACAATTCTCAAACTACATGTTGGTGTTCTACGAAATTCTGGAAAGTTGGTGGAAGCTTTATTAGCCATTTAGCTATGACAGAAATATTTTAGAGTACTAACTGAAACAGATCACCCTCATAGACCCTTGAGGAGACTTCAGTTTATAGATACCAGGTTCTCAGTGAAACCAGCCAGTAGCAATGTCACTGAAGTAGCCGACAAAGGTTGAGCTGAAACCTGAAAATTCGGCTGCTCTTGTCTAAAAGCACTGACTTGACAGCAACAGTACTTCTGGTCTGTAGTGAACATGACAATCTCACAATCTCAGACTCTTAACAAAAACTATTACATAGAAGATGCTCTGCCCTAGGTAAGAGAATATAAAACACAGTCCCTGTCCAAGAGATTACATTTTCGTTGTAGAGGTTAGGGATAAAGGCATGCAGGATGAAACTGCAATACCAGCAAATATGATACAACCTAGTGCATGAATACTACAGGGAAGTCAGTAATAAATCATCAGGTGCACAGCACAGATGACGCAGCCGACTTAGGTTAGCTAGCTGCCCTAGAGCGAAATGGAAGAGATTCCATAGGGAAAAGGGAAGCCTGAGAATTGGATTTGGAGACAGAGAAAAAGGGCTCTTAACTCCGGCAGGGCTCAACAGTGGGACAGTGGGGCAGATGGTGTACGGGATGGCTGCTGGGCACTGGGGTTGCAAGGATAAAAACAGCAATCTGGGGCAGGACTTTACTTTGGATGGCCTTCTCGACTCCCTGTCTCAGACATTCATTGCTGCTCTGCAATTCTTTTTAATTCAATGCCTAAATCGCTTCCTGTTTAGTCTGCCATAATTTATGGTGTGATTCTGATTATGTCTGCTCTCTTCAAGACCCTTCTGCCTCTAGCTCTGTCAGCAGATGACTCAGCCTCCAGTCTATGTGGCATTAATGTCTGTGCATCCTCCCAGGCCCAGCGGGGGCAATTCCCACAGGTAGCCTTCCTGGGTGCCCAAGCTTGCAGATCACGCGGGCCTCAGTGTCTTCCAAGCATTTTGTGCTCAATCCCTCTATCATACTATTCTGTGAGGACCTTACTTATGTTTTTCCAGTAGACTTCGTGAGACCCACTAACTCACCACCCCCTATGTGTCTTTGTAATCCTAGTGCCCAGAAGTGCTCAGGGTCAGCACCCAGCAACCATACGATGAACGAAGGAGTGTTCCAGACCTCTCCTTGCAGTGTTCCCTACCAAGGTTACAGTATCATCGAAGACCGGAGTAACCAGGAGAGACTATCAGGCCTGTGGGGAGAATCAACTCTGACCACGCTATGGAGCAGGTGCTGTGGTTAAGGGCAGGCTCCTAAGTAAACTGCCTGGGGTCAAATATAAGTTCCACTGCCTCCTAGCTGTGCCTCAGTTTCCTCACCTTAAAAGGAGAATAAAAAGCAGCTGCTCCATAGCTCTGCTGGGCCGTTTAAATGGTTACACATACAAGCACTGCAGCACTGCGTGGCACAGAAGCAGTCCATGCGTATCTGCCTCTGTTATCTCTACCTCTTGTTTTCCCTTGCTCCCCACAAAGTAGTACACAGTTCTAACTCCTAACTCTGTTTATTTCTCTCTATTCTATTTCAGCCCAGGCCCTCATTTCTCATGGCCTCTCCTAGTGCCTTTCAGTCTCCAGACCTTAGCAGCTTCTTTGACTGCCGTCAAAGGTCTTCCAAAACTAACATTCACGTTTCTCTCCCCAAAACCTTGGGTACCTCCCGATTACACTCAGGACAAAAAAGTCCAAAGCCATAGTCTGGCTTCTGCCATGCAACCCATGTCCAAAGCCCTCTCAGGTTTTGCCTCGCACCACCTCCTCCTACCGCATGCTATGAGTTGTCCCCATCTCTCTGGAAACCCTTCCACTCCAGTGCCCGTACTTATCCTTCCCCACCTGCCAAATGCTTGCCTCTCCTCTGATGCCTCAACACTGCTCCACTGCCCTTTGCACCTGACACTAGTTTTCTTCTCTACAAGTTTGACTTGAGTTCATTTTACACCTTCCATGTGTCTTTTTAACCTTTTGAACATATTGAGAACAGTTGTAATAATTTTTAATGTCCTTGTTTGCTATTTCTATCATATCATTTCTGAATCAGTTTCAGTTGACTCATTACACGTCATATTTTCCTACCTCTTTGCATGCCTGATAATGTTTTCGACTTCACTGAGATGTAACTGACATAGAGCATTGTGTAAGTTGAAGGTGTACCACTAGTTGATCTGGTATACCTATATATTGTGAAATGATGAACACCATAGCATTAGCTGACACGTACATCATGTCATGTCACCTACATGATATCACACCTACATCACATCTGGGATTGGATGCCAGACTTGGGAAAACTTAACCTCTTTGGGTCCTGGACATTTTTACATTCCTATACATATTCTTGGGATTTGTTCTGGGATACAGTGAAGTCACTTGGAAATGGCTTGATCTTTTTGGTATTGCTTTTAAGACTCATTTGGTGGGCCCATAGCCATGTATAGTCAAAGGTTAATTACTCCACTTGAAACCCTGTGAATTATGAGGTTTCCAGTCTGGTTGTGGAATAGGCACCATTCCTGGCCCTGCATGAGCACCAAGTACTGTTCTTCCAATCCTTTCAAGTGGTTCTTTTCCTAAAATCCTAAGGGATTTTCCTCCAGGCATACACGGAGCGACGCTCTGCTAAATTCCTAAGAGGACTGCACCTTCTCAGAGTTCTCCCTCTGTGCAGCTCTCTCTTCTCAAGGTACTCTGTCCTGTAAACTCCAGCTGCCTCAATCTCCCCAGACTCTCAGCTCCATCTCCTCAATCAGGGCATCTACTGAGCTTCGCTGGGGTCTCCTTTCCTGGGCCACAGCCTGCAAACTCTGTGAGGTGGTGAGCTGGGGCACTTATACGACTCACTTCATTGCTTCCCCTTCTCTGAGATCATCGTCCTTCATTGCCTGATGTTCAATATCTCACATAGGGCTGTTGCATATATTAGATACAGCTTTTTGGTTATTTCAGGCAGAAAGACAAATCCAGTCCCTGTGACTCCATGTTGACTGGGAACAGACGTTCCTACTGCACTCTTACACACCTCTGTTATAAATCCCAACACGAAGCACAACATATCAGAGCTGCTGGAATAGTGTGCCTTGTAAGGACTATGTACCTTTACCACCTAATACATAGCAGGTGCTCAATGTGTGTGGGGGGTGAAAACCTGTCTGCCCAACTTCTTGAACACTTGAAACCTGGGAATTAAATCAAAGCTAGCATTGAAACCTTAACTGTGGGACAACAGTCTACTTTATTTAGCCCCCATTACTTTCCTTTCACACACCTCTTCTTAGCCTAAGTGACCNAAGGTCCAACCAAGACTTAAGTTCTCTACAAACTAGTACTGCCAAGTGTTTTCTTTCTACTTCAAAACTCCTATAAAATATACTGCCCCCTAATATTAATTTGGAATATTTTTTATGCTAGATTATATTATTTCCTTTTTTTATGTGTCTTTTTGTTTCTCCTGTCTACACTGAAGGGGTTGGAAGTATAATACGGCTTTTTCTCTATGTCATTTATTAGGTCTTCAGTAAATACAATGTATTTGGTGGCTATATCAAATATATTGTCTGATGGATAATATAGGAAAATGTGGTATAACCATAGGAACACCTTGTCATTCTTTGTAACTCACCATCTGCAGATGAAAGGTAAAAGGTAGACCACTCCTGAACCCAATTTCTTTACTTCCACTGTTAACAACTATACTGCTCCCTGCAGAAGGTCTCTGTTGTTTTGCCCACCTGATATCTCTTCCCTCTTCTTTTGTAACAAGACCCAGTGTCTACCTCTACAGTAAGACTCCACAGGGACACCTTCAATACTCTGCACCCTCCTTCACCCCGGGGTGGTCACAGAACCGGAGAGGGCGGAGCCAATCCAAGTCTTCCTGGCTTAGATCCCTTGAGCTATCCTTGTTTGGTCCTTTCAGAGGTCTAGGTGTTCACCCACCCTATATCCTTTCAAATAAATCCCTGTTTTCCTTAAATGGGCCAGAGTTGATCTCAAAGCTTGCAAACAATGAACCCTAACTAAAAAGCCTTTGCCTCTGTGAACTTACTGAAGCGTCTGGGCCCGTGAAATGCACTATAAATGTTAGCTTTTCACTGAATGGTAGAAATCATGTCCACAAAATACTAAAAGCAGGCAATTTGCTCACACCTTAAGTTATTTACCTATGTAACCGTTGCTGAAACATTAATCTCCAATTGTTTGGTGAAACAGATTTCTAGGATTGTATTCACCCTGAAGCTAAAAGAATGCTGGGGGCGGCTTAGCACCAACCACGAAGCATTCACTGCACACATTTTTCTAAGTCTCATTTTCCTCTTAGGTGTTCATTTGTCCCATACATTCTCAGCTCATAAACTTCACCCTTAAAAACTCAGGAACAATGAATGAATTTTTCTTTAAAAATATATGTCTCAAATCTACTTGTAGGTCTTAAAGTTAGTTTCGCATTTTCTTAACTTAAAAAAATTGAAATTTTTAGTCTTGTCATTAGAAAGTGCTGGTCTTTATTTAACCACGATAGTTTAACTATGGTCTCCTTTTGCAGAAGAACTTAAGCTCTTGTAGGGCCGATGGTGTTTCATGTGTCTTGCCTCATGCACCTCATTCAGTGATAGGACAACAGTAATACTGGTTTTGATTAGTCCAAATTAGTGCTTTAGTGTAACTGTCAACTTTGCATTTCTCAAAACTTTATTATGCGCCAGTGAGGCAACCCAGTTAATTCTAGGCACAAATACATGTTCTCCCTAAAAATGTTTTAATATACTTAATTAAAAACTTTTGCAATTATCCTATTACTCCATGCTATATATACATCGTACAGTAGGCCACTGGTTTCCCAGAAATCTGATAGTGATCCACTAATACGGATAATTAAACATCCTTTCATGCTGACATTCAAAACATCATGACAGTGCTTTTCTCCAGTGTGGGTGATGGCAGTGACAGGTCCGGTCTGGGGACTGGAAACGGGCCTGTATGTTGCCGCCCCTCCAGGACCTCAGCCCTCCAGAGCCCTGGCAGGGGTGCAATGTGGAAGACCGCAGGCCCCCGGGGAGCCGGCCGCAACAGGGGACCATAAGAAGGCCGGGGAGCCTTTGCACCCCCGGGGTCAGCCACGACAGGGGACCCAAGAGGAGGGCGGTGAGCCCGCGTCCCCTGGGTGTAAGCCAGGACACGGGACCCACGAGGAGGTAGGTGCGCCCTGCAACCCCGGGCCGTCGGTGCAGACCGGCGCCAGGAAAAGCCGCGGGCGCAGGCTGGGGGCCGAAAGAGCCTCACGGGAAGTTCCCCGTTCCGGGGCCGACGACGCGCGCTGCTCGCAGGCCGGGCGCCCACAGCCCGCATCCTGTCGGGCCTCCAGCAGGGAAACATGCCGGCACCCAGGACCTGCTCCCCTAGCCCCGAGCGCCTGGACGCACTACAGCGAGAACAGCTTTCCCGCAGTCTCCGCCCAGCCACCCGGCACAGGAAGCGGGCTTCCAGGACGGCCGCCCGCACTTCCGCGAACTCACATCCTCCATCCGGGCCCCCGCCGCCATCGCCTGACGCCCGAGGCCGAAGCCCCGCCAGACGGGCTTCTGCACCTGCGCCGGACGCGGACGGCACCGGAAGACCGCCGCCTCTGGAGACGGCCGCCCCGCGCCCAGACACACACGCTCCAGGACCCGCACATGCTCCGCCTCCGGCCCCGCCTCAGACACACCCTCTTAGGCCACCTGCCCCGCCTCCTGTCGCCAGGCCCCGCCTCCGAGCTCCCGATTGGCGTAGACGGGAGGGGCGTGCCCCACGCGGGACCCAAGCTGAGTGTCGCGATCCCTGCTTGGACTTCCCTAGTCCTCTGGGCTCCCGCGGTGTGCTCTCGGTTGCGCTCTTGGTCGGAGACTTGGGCATCGCAGGATGCTTTCCAAGTCCAAGAAATAATGTTTGGTGGCTACTTGCCTCTGTTTAAAGCATGAACTCTTTTTTGGTCGTGCTTAGTTTCGTCCGCAGAGGTCCGCCGCACCCAGGGCTCCCCGCCGGAAACGCCGCCCGCGGGGCGCGGACGGGACAGATTCCGATTTCCGCGGCGTGTTTACATATTGAATATACATAGTGAATTCCGCTACCCCTTCACATTGATTCATACATTGGTAATATCATGCCACAATTGCTCTGTGTGTGTTGTGTGCACGCGGGACTGTTAACACACAACTTTTAAACTGAATCATTTGAAAGTAGGTTAACATTGTGAAACTTCATTCCTAGGTACTTCACTGACTGAAAGTAAGAACAATTTCCTGCTTAAAGCACAATATCTCTATCGTACCCAAGAAAACTTACAGGAATTCCATATTGCTTATATAATCAACCCATAGCAAAATTTTCCAAATTGTACACCAAATGTCTTTGGTAGCTGTTTCTTTTTTAATATCCAAGATTCAAACAAGCTTGACACATTGCATTTATTATGTAAAGACGTATTTTAACAAGTATAGTATACTGGTTAAAACCAGGGCTCTGGAATTGGTCATGAAATTTTGAATTCTGCATATTACTTAGTGTGTGATCTTGGGCACCTTATTTAAGTATTCTAGGACTCAGTTTCCTCATCTGTAAAAATGGAACTGTTACTAGTTAACAATTACAGAGATTTTTGATTAAATGAAGTAATTTGTGTAATGCTCTTGGTGCAGTGTTTATTTACTTAAGCACTCAGCAAATTTTTGTCTGCCAGATGCAGTGAATCATTAACATACAGTATAACTGTTTTAACAATACATTAAAATATTACACTGTTCAAATTGTTCAACAAGTCTTTTTTTCAGAGGTTGAAATTTTTCGAAATAAAAAAGGTGGAGGGAAAATGATGATTGTGTACTTGGTGGGCTAAAAGGTTTGTTGCTACATTTGCGTAGAAATAATCTGTGATTACTTTGTATAGGCCAGAAGGGAACAATGGTGTTAGGAAATAGAATTCTGAACTTTGCAAGGTTCGATAGAAGCGAGTTGGTGAGGGATTGAGGTTGCCAGCCCCGGTGATGTGCTTCAGTAGGAGGCCTTGACTTCCAGGGATTAGAATGGGTGAGAGAAAAAGGTGCTCTATGGAAAGGTAAGGGTGAATATTTAGAAGGAAGAAGACCTGACTTTGCCTTACTATTATTTAGGCCTAGTCACGCAAGTTTACGTGCTATGATGTATTTACTATGCCCAGCTCAAAAGTTAGAAATAAAGAATATGTAACTGCCACTAAAAGTCACTAATATTCATATTCAGGGAATATAAGTAGAAACAATGAGTTAGGTGCAGGAATACACGTCTGTGGAACTCTGTCCAAAATATACCGTCTAAAAGGAATTTTTATAGAAGTCAGGCCCAGATGACATATATGGTGAATGAAAACTTAGTCATCATCAGGAAAATTGATTAAAATCTTATGTCCATATAATGCTTTAGTAATAATCAAAGCAATTAAAATAAGCAAAGCCCTGTAAATAAATTATATTTATAAAGGTGTCTGACACTCACTTTTGCATGACTGAAATATTTTTAGTGAAAATTCTTGCATCTGTTTGCCAATGAAGAAGAAGAGGAGATGTAGATAACTTGTTTTCCCTGCAAACAGTTCACCTTAGACGATTTGGGTCTGAAGCTCCATTGTTCTGTAAGTGTTGTCACTATCAATATTATTCCAAGAACAGTGCTTAGTTCAATCACAGATATTAAAATGTTAATAGTATTTCACTGTTTTTCCCCCACCACAATAAAAATGTGTCCTTCATTCACTTTGTAATGTTATAAATATAACCTCCATTATTCAGCCTACCATACTTTGTGTCATGTATCATGCGAACAATAGTTGCTTAGTTAATATTGATTGATTGATTTTACAGTGGGATCTCTTTAGCTACTGATACTGATTTTAAGTTGCCCTTTAAATCAAATTTTAGATTGAATTGATCTTAGCTAGACTTTTCTACAATTCTCTGAAGCTTCCCTGAACCTCGGTCAGAAATGCATATATCCCAAACTCTGGCTTTTGGCAATGCTTTGTAGCTGAGTCTCTCTTAGATACCAGAGAGATGCTGCTGAAAATTTCCCTTTCAATGAAACAGACAGAAAAAGTAAGTCAACAGTTATTTTAGTATATCAAATTATTTTTGGTTTATATACTTTTCTAGAATTTGTTTTCTAGAAAGAAACTTAAAGATATTGTGAGCAGTTGGAAATGTTCTACAGTTTCATTTACTTGTCCCATAAGTTTTTGGGTCTTTCAGAGTTCCATCTACTACAAATAGAATCCAGTTGTAACCAAACACTTCAAATTTGGATGAAAAATCTATTAGAGGTCCTCAGAACCTGTGAAATTTCAGACTTGTTATCCAGCACCAACTCCCACATTATTGATATGTATTCTCTTCAAGTCCCTGCCCCTGACATTTAAAAACGCAGCTGCTTTTGAAAGCAGAAAAATTTTATTTTGGTTTCAAGGACTAATTCAGGAGTGGGAAAACAAATTTGTTAAAACTTCCAAAAATAGTTTATCTTTGGATTGATAGCAAATATGTGAAATTTCAGTCCCAAAATAAAATTTCTCTGAAAGTTTTAGAAAACCATTTGCAGAAACTGTGGATGAAAATGAATTGCGTAACCTTCATGATGGTCAAGGATACTGCTTAGTAATTCTAGAGCTGATCTTCTCTCATCTCTTCTCACATTTGATTCTACTCTAAAGCTAAATACCAGGCTCTTGGAATACAGCCAAGTTAGTTTTCAGCATTTTCATGGGATTTCCTTATTTCAGAAATAACCAGAAGATGGAGCTATTGTGCATGACTGAAATATTTTGTTAAAATTCTTTCATTTGTTTACCTATAAGGAATAAGAGGAGATGGGAAGAACTTGCTTTTCTGCCAAACAGTTCACCTTCAGAAGATACGGGTCTGAAGCTCCATCTTTCTGTAAGTCTTGTCACTATCAATATCATTCCAAGTTCAGTGCTCCCTCCAACCACAGATATTAAAGTGGGTTTTTTACTCATGTCTTGAAGGTGTTCTGCAGTGAGTGATGTCTCATTAATTAATTCTAGAATTTAAGAAGTAAAATTTTTCCTTTAAAATACAATTTATAATTCTGTGGGCTGAGGTTTAAAATACATTTGAAAGTGTCCCCCAGTAACTTATAAAATAATTATATTGATTTTCCAATATTAGAAAAGTCTGTAACTTCAGAGTCTGAAATTGTTTAGACAAAGGTTAAATAAACTAGGACATGAGATTATTTATTATTTATAACACCTTTGTTAATATAAGAGATATAGATTTATTTTTAAAATAAGTGAAAATTAAGTTGCTTAGAGTATGAAAAAAAGGAAAAACAGAAGTTGAGAACAAATAATATGTAAATTTTTATGTGTGTTTGTGTGTGAGTGTGTGTGTGACTCGCCTCTCTGTAAGAAAGATCCTAGGTATTGGGTCTATGTAGACATGACAATTTATAAAGCACTTAACACATCTTAAAACAACATACTATTTTGGTCCTTACGACAATCCCTGAAGGTGGGGTTGTACAATATTATTATTTACATTTTACAGTTGATAAAACTGGTAAGAGAATCTAAATGACTTCCCCTAGATGACCTGTTAATAATAGACAAATCTGGAGTTTGGTTTCATGTTCAGCACTTACTTATTCACTTATTAATAAATATTTACTAACATCTTCCAATAGGGGACATTGGTAGGCATTACAAGAAACTAAAAAACCAGTAAGCCCTGTGTTCCTTTGCTTCTATTTCCTGCCTTCTGGCTGGTCTTCGTAAGTGCTGGTCTTCGACATGCCCTTAAATTTTGTCTTTAGGCTTAACCTCTTCATGAACTGAGTAAATTATGCTCACAAGTTCCCATCAGGCTCAGCTTTCTGCTAATTGTACTCTAATATAATAAGCTGGTATCAGACTAACGCTGGTACCTCCTGTCAGCCTTTCCCCATCTCCAACTTTCTATCCTCGGAGCTGACTGTTGAAAAGGATCCCTTTCCTAGAGCAGGAGAAAAAACAGAAACTTTTGGAGAAAAGGGGATACTTCATTATGAATGAGTTGGCAACTGAGTTGGATTTCGCAGAGAAAAGTGGAAAAGTGGGGATACTTGCAGTGAAGGGCCCAAACCAGAAGCCACAGCCTCCACGCTGAGCTGAGCAGGAGCTCCCAAATCTGGTTCTCCTTCAGTCTGAGTGGTAAGTAGGCAACTCACTCTCCTGAGTCTGTCTGCACAAAAAGGACCTTGTCCTTTTCAACACGAACTTTATATTTCTTTCAGTATTCCCCAGTTGGATTATTTAGTGCATGATGTTGGGAAAATGAGCTAGCCATTTGGAAAAAAAATAAAGCTGGGTCATTCCCATATTTCTTAAGCCAAAATAAATTTCTAATGGTTCAAAGATTTAAACATACAAATAAATCAACAAAAGTTTTAGAAAAAAATTTTTAATGTAGCATTAAAGTAAAGAAAGAATTTCCATGCATGACCCCAAACCCAGAAGCACTAAAGAAAAAAAAATGCAATAAATTCGACTACATAAGAAGTTTGAAACTTTTACATGGGAAAAAAAAAGACAAGTTAAAATATAAATGCCAAATGCCAACACCTGGAAGCAACTTAAATATTCATTATTTGTGGAATAGTTA